TATATATTTTGCAGAACCAGGGATTGAACTCAGGTCCTTGTGCTTGCCAGGGAAGCGCTTATTCTACTGAACCATCTCCCCATCCCCAATAATATAATTTTTAGAACACACACAAAAAATATTGGACTAAAATGAGCACTAATAAGTTGTATCTGTGAACATGAGGCTTTGTATGTGTTATTTAACATATTAGGAATGTAGGCTAAATCCATCGATATAGTGTGTTGTTTTCTTTTAAGTTTTTTGAGACAGAGTCTTCTTGTATCATCCAAGCTAGCTGAAGTTTGTGGCAGTCTCCCTACCTCAGCTTCCCAGGGACAAGACTTATAGACATGTGCCACCATATCTGGCTGTGTTTCCTATTTTTAAACCTAAGGAATGGTAAGATGCTTATACTTAGGAAAAAAAAAAGTAGATGAAAACTATATACAAGTGTATGTGCTTACATAAACATATGAGTATTATAATGTGATATTTTAGGAAACAAATACCATTCCAAAGAGTGAGAAAACCCAGATTCTCTTCTAGTTCTCTGAGAACCTTGTAACTGACTGTGGTACTAACTTGTGGCCTCTATTCCTCAGCCAGGAGTTGGTGGTGTGAGGATCAAGTATATGGGAAGTACTTTGTAAACTATATGAACTTATCATGATACTGTGTTGCTTTGGGTCACCTCATCTTTTACAAAAATTTAACAAATATTTTCTGCTTCTAGTCAACTAATAGGAACATTTTTATTATTTATTTACATAAATATAACATTTTTATATCTAGTTCATACCTATAGGAGTAAAGAGAAACCATCGTAATAAAATTTCATGTTTCAATTGTCCTTAATAATGTCAACACATTTTAAAATCCCAATATTATCAATTTGAAAGCCATGAAGTACAAATGACATGGATATAAACATTAAAAGTTGAGAGAAAAACCTGTACAAATCACGGGCTGGATTTTTTTTTTTTTTTTTTTTTTTAGTCTTTTTTTTTTTTTTTTTTTTTTTTTTTTTTTGCTTTGTTTTTTGTTGAGACAGGGTCTTGCTGGTATTTTAGGCTGGTCTTGAGCTTGGGGTGCCCTCCTGTCTCTGCCTCCCAATTGCTGGGGTGACAGGCATGTGCCACCATGCCTGGCTTGCTTGTAGTGGTATATAGTATTTTTTCTTCATGTATCATAACTTTGTTTTGTTGTTGTTCATACATTTATAACTTTGGCCTTAATTTGAACTGAAAATGTGCAGACCACATGCAGGAACCATGTGGGGCATAAGGCTGGCAACTGTTTGAAGTTCAGAGCATGTGTTCTCTCTTCCAGTTCCGGACATTTGACCCGTGTAAACAGTTGTGGTGCAGTCACCCTGACAACCCCTACTTCTGTAAGACTAAAAAGGGACCCCCGCTGGATGGCACAGAGTGTGCTACTGGGAAGGTGAGTATGTGCATCTAGAAAAGAAGCCATGCAAGGAAGGCACAAAGTATTCTGGGAGGAGCCCAGATAAGTCTCTCCTTATAAACCACCATATAAAGCCTGGGATTTAGTTCAGCAGTACAGTGCCCGCCTGGAAAGCACAGTGTCCTGAGTAGCCATGGTAGCCATGAAATCCTGGTAGCCATGACTTCTTTTGTTTAAATCATCAGCAATTTATTATCTCATGTTTCTTGAGGCCAGAAACTCAAAAGAGTTTCCATGAGCTACCATCAGTAGCACACAGGACCACATGACTCTGTCTTAGCCTCCTGCAAACAACCTCCACCCTGATGGCCATCCGCCTTTGTCCTGGTGGACACCTATGCCTCTCCTCAGTGGAAGAGCTGCCTCCCAGCTCTCCTACAAAGACAAGTGTAGTGGTAGTTTAGGTCTACCAGGGTAATCTAGAATGATATCCTAATTTGATGTCCTTAGTTTAATCACATTTGTAAAGAGCCCTTTTCCAGATAAAGTCACATTTATAGGTAGATTGGGATCTGTCACTCTTAGGATCACCATTTAGCCCACTACAGATTGGGAAAATCCTGCGCAGCAGAATCTGCATCCTCCAGGGCATTTGATTTGCTTACTAGATCACATTCCTTGTGAAAGTTGCACAGAAGTAGTCATGTGAATATATACGGCATATTTGGCCTCACTCCTCAGGGAAAGATACCCAGAGGTTTTAAATCTCAAATTGTGTGGTCAGGACTGGATGCTTAGTGGTTGGCAAAAAGCCAGGCTGTGCTACTCAAGGGCAAGACACCAAAACAAAGACGTGTTGAGAGCTCAAGTCCAAGTGCCTTGACTAGTTTAAAAATAAGATATTGTAGACAGGACAAAAAGCTGGCAAGAAGATTAATACAGCTTTTTTAGTCCTGTTAAAGGTCAATTTAGAATGTATATACACTTTGGATGAGAATTATGCATAATAAATTATAAGACCTATTATTACAAATACTTGCATTGTGTCCAACTCTATGCTAACTGTGATTTGTAATACTTTTCAAGATTTAGTAGCAGAAAATACTGACTAGACTCTAGCGGAATAATAAAGCAATAAGTTTTTGTTTAATTAAAGAATGATATTCAGTAAACAACTCTTGACATACAACTCCCTCAAATATGGTGGTGTTTAATTACACGAAAGTCAAGTTTAAAGAAAATTTCTTTATATAGTATAAACAAGCAGGTCAAAATGTCAGAAAGGAAAATAATACCTTGGAGCACCTACCACGTATGGAATGCCATGACAAGGTGCCTGTGGTGTCAGGGTGCTGGTGGCCACTTACTCGCATACTGGTCAGGTGGCACCAAGTACTTAGGACCCTTCTAGGCCTTAATTTTCCTCATCTAAAAGGGTAAGATCATTATCTGACTTCTTAGGATCATTGTGAATTAAATTTCGTAAAGTAATAATAGTGCTTTGAAATCTGGATTTTTTTTTTTTTTTTAATTTTAGGAAAGGGTCTACAAGGTGTTCAGGATTTCACTACTAGATGGGACACATAGTATTTACAGCCTCCCAAGATCTGGGATTACAGGTGCGTGTCACCATGCCCAGTCTCAATTGCCGTCTCGGCGCGCCCCGGGGGCAGGGCTGGCATGGCAGGCCTTAGGATTGAACCCCCAGTCCCTGTACTTGCTTGCAGGCACTTTAATCCACTGGCTGGGCCTGGATGCGGTTTTGAATATTGTGTTACTTTTTTAAGTTAAAATGTATATTCTTGGGCCAGCCAGATAGCTCAGCGGACTAAAGCACCTGCTTAGGCAGAGCACAGGGGCCAAGGTTTGATCCACAAATTGCAGCTGAGACCGCAGTTGAGACTGGGTGTGGTGGCACATGACTGTAATCCCAGTGCTTGGGAGTCTGAAAAAGGAGAATCACTACCAGTCCAATCTACGTAGTGAGACACTATAGACCCTGTACCAAATACATTTTTTGAAAAAGATGTATATTCTTGAGTTCATCATTTTATTTTGTTTTTTTAAATCAAGTAGTAATTTTAATTAAAAATGTTACAATTCGTTATTAATATAAATAATCAATAGGATTTTACAGCACTGTTTTAAGACATGAATATATGAAATATTTTCACTCAGTCATGGAAGTTTATCATTTTACATAGGTCATTTCTCATTTTTTTCTCTGTCATGTTTTATGTTTAATTTCTAAATCTTGTAAATTTTTAAAAACTTTAATATTTATATATTTAAATATTTATATTGAGTTTTTAAAATTATTAATAAACTTTACACTTAGTACTTTTCAAGCAATAACTATACTTTTTCTTTTAAATAGATTGTAAGTCACATATACAGTATAAATCTTAAAACAAAAATTAAGATTAAGCAATATTTGGAATATTAAATACTAATTAATTAAAAATTAAACGTTTCAAAACAGTTGAACTAAGAAAAAGTTTTCATGATAGTAAAGAATTATTAAGAATAAGACATAAGATAAATACTTGAATGACAAATAAATGACCAGCACTTCTTACAGTTTGGGGATAGGATATCACACAAAGTTCTAGAGTGTCGTGAACATGGATAATGTTCATAACACTTACTAGTGGCCAAGTGTCAATTGTGGGACTGAGCTACTGCTATTTCCTTGATATCCAGTGGACCCTGTAGACCCAGACAGAATCCTGACCTATAGGGTACAAGAGAAGTCCATGTGTAGAGTATGCTGATGGAAATATCTTGCTTCAGTATACAAAAAAATAACTGAAAGACTGCTTTTGTATACCTCTTATTCTCCTGTGTTTAATTGTCTGCCTTATTTGATGGATTCTTTCCATTCTCATTCACAGAGTTGTGGTCATTTTTCTCCCTCTCTAGAACATCTTTTAGTAGTCTGTGTAGGTTTGGCTTTGTCATCATGAAATTCTTAAGTTGTTCTTTGTCATGGAAGTATTTCACTTCTCCTTTATACTTGAAAGAGAGTTTTTCAGGGTATATCAGTCTGGGTTGTAATTTGTTTTCTTGTAAGACTCGAAGTACTTTGCTCTATGTTCTTCTTGCCTTGATGGTTTGTGAAGAGAAATCTGCCAGTATCCTGATGGGTTTTCCTTTAAATGTGATCTGTTTCTTTTCTTTAGTGACTTTAGAACACTGTTCTTGTGCTGAATTTCTGAGATCTTGATTATTATATGTCTGGTGTGTTTTTAATTGGGTTGATGTTATTTGGAGTTCTATATACTTCGTTTACCTGAATGTCAAATAGTTTCCCCATATTTGGGAAGTTTTCTGCTATTACCTCCATCCATATTCTTTTTATATCATTTGTATTGACTCCTTCCTTCTCATTGATGCCTATTAGTTTCACGTTGTTCATCTTTGCATTGTCTTGCAGGTACTGAATTATTTTTTTCCTGCATCTTAGTTATTTTTAAGAGATCTTTTCTTACTTTTTCATTAGCTGGAATGGTGTCTTTAAGGTCTCAAAGTCTACTCTCACTTTCCTTCAAATGGTTTTGCAAGCTTGTGATTGAGGTTTTAATTCCTGTATATCACTTTGTATCTGCTTCATGCATTCTATGTCTTTCCTATATTGCTTATTCAAGGAATCCATCATTTTTATATTCTGCTCTATTTTTTTATCAGTGTCTTCTTTAGAAGCACTTAGTACTTCTTTTGATATAATTATCATTTTCTTTTTACTTCAGAAATTATTTCTGATCTGATTTCCTCTATACCTTTCTGAAGTTGTTTCTTTACTTCACACACTATTACTTCAGAGATTTCAGGTGTGTGACTTCCAATTTCTTCTATGCTAATGTCGTCTGCATTTGTTCTGGGTGGGCTTGGGGCCTGAGACTGCATTTTGTTCCTTCTCTTTGTCATTTTCTATACCACTGTCTTCTGACCTTTGGTGTAGTGCTTAGATAGAGTTATTACCATAGAACCAAATCCGGATCTACCAAGTTCAAACTGGTCCAAGTGGGTGTGGCTTGGATCTGTTTGCTGTGCTCCACTTCTTTCTGTTGCAGCCCTTGGAGTTGCACCCTCTGTGCCACTCTGGCCAGATGTTCTGTTCCTGAATCAGCTGAGTGGGTCTTGCCTCTAGCCTCTTTGCAGGGAATTCTGCTGCAGGTTCCACTCTGGGCTTGGGCTCAGGGTCAAATCAGGATCCAGTGGTCCTCAGGCTGTCTCACTCACATGCCAGGCCTGAGCTCTAGGTCCAGTCAGGATCCGGTGGGTCCGAGAGATTTCACTCACATGCCAGGCCTGCACTCTGGGTCGAATGAGTCCATAATTTTAAAGGGTAGTCTGTTGCTCTCAGAAACGCCTCAGCTGGGACAGGTAGTGGAGATGAAAGGTAGAATGATACCTCCTCGCAAAGCTGGGTACACAGGAAATCACCAGTTAAGAAGTATGTTACTGGTGATTGTCTCAATGAATGTTATTTTTTATTACAATTTTATAATAAAAATAGAAGTCTGAATTCCCCTTCCCATTAAGGTGTCTTAAGGCTATAATTGCTTTTCGATATTTGGAATGCATCATTATGCAGAAAAAGGAAGCAGAAGTAAAGACTTCACATAGGTGATTCTCGTGTGACAACTCCACCTTCAGAGTCTGTGTGATTTTCATATTTGCCTTTGTCACTGTCCCCAGTGGTGCTACAAAGGACACTGTATGTGGAAAAACACCAATCAGCAGAAGCAAGATGGCAACTGGGGCTCCTGGACCAAGTTTGGCTCCTGCTCCCGGACATGTGGAACTGGTGTCCGTTTTAGGACCCGCCAGTGCAACAACCCCACGTGAGCAAAATCTCTACAGTTCTTGTGTGTTTGGGTGGGCTGGAAGAGGCATCCTGTCACATCACTGGTATTCTGTTTCTCTAAGCATCTGTAACATATAGGACACAAGAACGTTTAAAGTCCATAAAACACCGTCACTTGTGGATAAATCGCTTATGTATATTGTGAAGACTATACAGTAATGAAGACAAGAACCTTGGATGAAGACGAGATATTTTCTGGAGTGTTTAGGGGCCCAAGGAAGTCAGATCACAATGCCCTTAGTGCAGGGCCTCGAAAGCATCTCAGGAACCCCCAGAGAAGTGCAGTCACTGCACAGAGGACAAGCTAAGGTAGTGACAGTTGGCCAGGAGCAAGGGAGAGCCTTCACTCTCACTCTTTCATTCTCATCAATCCCTGTCTTATACTCCATGAACCTTTTTCTGATGTACAAATATAATGCAAGTGTTAAATTTAGGATGTTCTTTCTGATCTAGGGCTTAAAATTTGGCAGTGCCTCTGTGCAACAGGATATCTGGGTATGTCTTTGATAGAGACCTTGGATGCCACATAACCTGCATCTGCAGGAAAGATGTAGTATTGAAGAACGTAGCACAAGTGATCAAAATGATAAGTGCAGCTTGTTCTATAAACAAGGTGTATCTTAAGTACCTTAAATACATTATCTCATTGGATCCTCAGCATTCTGCTATGGAAATTACTAGTATGGTTTGCATTTTGCATAGGAGAAACAGAGCCAGAGAGCTGTGATCTGTTTCTCTGAGTTGCATATTTGTTCACTATGCTTGAGGGAGAATGTAACCTTTTGAGCCTACATGAGTGTTTATTTCTTTACCCTGGAAAAGCTGATTGAGGTTGAGTTTTGGATCCTTTGCCTGCAGAGATAGAGCAGGAAACTTTTGGGAAGGGATGGGGCACAAGAGGAGGCACAGTCACTCTTGAACAAGCAGGCTGGCATTGGCTTCCAGTCTCCAAGGTGGCTGCAGCTTTGGTGGCCAGGCTTGGTGGTTGTTCCAGCATGCTCTTTCCTGCAGACCCATCAATGGTGGGCAAGACTGCCCCGGCGTTAACTTTGAGTACCAGCTTTGTAATATGGAAGAGTGCCAGAAGCACTTTGAGGACTTTAGAGCACAGCAGTGCCAGCAGCGGAACTCCCACTTTGAGTTCCAGAACACCAAGCACCACTGGCTGCCACATGAGCACCCTGACCGTGAGTACTCCACCCTCGCCCTGCTGACCCCTACTGGTGAGATGGGAACCTGGACTCTGCAGCTTCTAGGAGCAATCAGTTCCCCTCTCTAGGAGCAGGAACTATACCCACCCACCATGTGCCTGACAAAACAGTACACCCACCTTCACCAAGGAAATGCATGGGTGGGAAGTGATGTCTTCAAGAGAGACAGAATTTCCTGATTGAGCTAAAAAGTCTCTCCATAGGAAATGCTTCTGGATAAGTTCTATCTTTCCTTTTGGAATAACTAGAGAGAAATATATAATTCCTGCCTGGGAAGTGCAGGGTCCTGAGTTCAATCCCTGGTACCACAAAAAAATAAATAGATCAATCAATCAATCAATCAATCAATCAATCAATCCTGTATAGCTAAAGCAGAACCAAGAAAAAGACCATTACTTAGTAACACAAGGCACTTCTAGCCTTTTATTTTTGTATTGTTGAAAAGTACATTCGGATTTGAGTGTGGTGGTGCACACCTGTAATCCCATCACTTGGGAAACTCAGGCAGGAGAGAGAATTGTTGTGTATTGGAGGCCAGCCTGAACTACATAGTGAGACTCTGTGTCTCTAAAACAAAACCAAACAGAGCAAAAAACAAAACAAGTAAAACTCTGCAAATTACCTGTTAATGTTCCACTTTTTAAACCTTGAATTCTTGTTAAAATATGTCCCAAGTAGTGATCTCCTATCATATTTCTTACAGGTAGAAACAAAATTACATAATTGTCATGTGCTCCTGCCAGTCACTAAATACATTACAGTTCAGTTATTGTAAAGGAAAGGTAGACCCATGCAAGAATTCAGTGTTGTAGCATATTTATAAGTAATGCATTATTTTCGTGAAATGAGTCATATAAATTATATTTATATGAATGGACTTCTGTGAGAGAGGCACAAGCTATACTTGATGTTGAGCTGGACCCAAGAGATCCTCATCAGCTGTAGCATTATCAAAATCAAGCTGTTTTTGCAGTTATTTCCTGAGAGCTACGGTGGGATGAGCTGCACCCTAGCAGGACCTAAGGTTCCAGGTGAGGAGGCAATAACTGTTCACATCTAGCCTCCTGGGCCTTTTATTTCCTGCTGCTTTTTATTTTATTTTATTTTATTTTTAATGGCATTCCCTTGCTGTCAGGAACCCATGCTGGGATTTGTACTTGAAAAGTACACTTGGGAGGATAAGGCAGGAGGATTCTTGTAAGTTCAAGATCAGCCTGGGCTACAAAGTGAGCTCAAGGCCAGCCTGAACTCCATGATGAACTCCTGTCCATAAAGACAAAGAAAAAAAAAAAAAAAAAAAAAAAAAAAAGAAAAGAAAAGGTAAGATGAGCTATGCTGCCCAAACGTCCTATTCTGAGTACCTGGTCACTTTCTTCCTCCCCTCCTGCAGCCAGGAAACGATGCCACCTGTATTGCCAGTCACGAGAGACAGGGGCCACGGTGTCCATGCGGCAACTGGTGGCTGACGGTACACGCTGCTCTTATCGGGACCCGCACGGTGTGTGTGTGCGCGGCGAGTGCGTGGTGAGTGCCCAGCCCTGCCCTGTAGCCTGCATGTGTGGACAGTGCAGGTGAGGTGAGCAGAGCTGCACTGATAAAACCAAGCCAGTCACTGGAACTCTTGAAGTCAAGGAGTTTTCCAGTCTCTAGCCGTGTGCCCAGGTCAGATCCTGCGTGCCCAAGCATAGTGCCAGGGTCCTGCAAGTAAAATACATACAAGGTCTTAAAGCAACCCAGTGCTAAGTATATTTTGTCTTTTGTTTAAGTGATAATACAGGTCTCTCTCCATTGTTGTTGGTTTGACAGCATGAAATACACATGCCATTGTGACTATCCCTGCTCATACCATACCAGTATTAGAAGTAAAGTGCAATGTGGTGTGATATTGTTCTGCACTGTTACTTCAAGGACCTACCCCAGTCCTGAAAAACATCAGTGGTTCTTTGTCTAGTGAGTGTGAAAATGTCAACTTGACCCAGTATCCATGCTTTCCATGGCATCTGCTGTACTTGGCATCACCTTCCCTAACTGCAGGGTGACTCTCCTTATGGCCTCTAACCCCCAGTTCCCAGCCTTCTGCTCTCACTCTGTTGTTGCAATGCTGACTTCTCTGTGCTTCTGACAGGCCCTGCAGAAGTGTCCCGTGCATCTGAGAAGTGTTCTATCACACCCTTAGTAATTTTTACAAACTGCATGACTATGTACAATGCATAACCATACAGTTTCATGTAGTTATATGTACATATGATTCACTATTTTAACTTATCTTTACAAGTATGAAAACAACAAAGGAAAAGTACCATATGTTTTGCTTTTGTTTTGGTTTTGGTTTCTTAGTATCAGCTCTATCTGTGCTCAGTAAATGTAAGTTTGATGATTGAGGTAATTATGGGAGAAACACTTCATCAGGCTGAAGACATTTGTCTTTTGTTAAAAAACTGCAGCGCATCCAACTCCACAATAGTTCCTTAAAGGTAACTCCTTAACTGTCATAAGTTTGGTGTAGATGTACTGAGGATCACTGTTATGGAACAAATGGCTTATTGTTCTCTGTATGATGTTTTGTGCCTGGCACATTAAGAAGTAGCCACATTTCTCATCTTCTTTCCACAGAAAGTTGGCTGTGATAAAGAAATTGGTTCCAACAAGGTTGAGGACAAGTGTGGTGTCTGTGGAGGAGACAATTCTCATTGTCGCACTGTAAAGGGGACATTTACGAGAACTCCCAGGAAGCTTGGTAAGACAAGGTTCTTACAATATGATTATCTAGGACTTGTGCTTTTTTTTTTAAAAAAATGTATTTACAGGGTCTCACTACGTAGCTCAGACTCATAGTGATCCTCCTGCTTGCAGCCTCCCCAGCACTGGGATTACAGGCTTGTGCCACTATGCCTAGACTGGCAGGCTCAGCCAGCCCTGGTGGTGGGGCTGGTGTGGCATGTGGTGCTGGGGATCCAACCACAGTCCCTGAGCTTGCTTGTGCAGGAGCTTTAGTCCCCTGAGCTATCATGCCAGCCCCCAGGACTGGTGCTTTTGAGACTCTAGCAGGATAGCATTATCACAGTAAATATGACAAAACTTTTGTTTTGGTGATCTTTTTCTTTTTTTTTTCCCGAAATTTTATTTATTTATTTATTTGTGTGTGTGTGGGGGCAACTCAGCCCACCAGGGGCCGGGCTGGCTGGCATGTGGTGCTGAGGGATTGAACCGTGGTCCCTGGGCTTTGCTAAGCTTGTTCTAAGTAGGTGCTTTAGACCACTGAGCCATCTCACCAGCCCCTTGGTGATCTTTTAATTTAAATTGACCCTTAGAAAACTAAAAATTTTTGAATTCATATTGTATAGCTTTTATGATGAGAAAATATCTACTAAATACAAAGTCAGTATTAATTATATTGGTTGGCTACAAGATATGTTTTCTTTTATGTTTTTAATAAAATGGAGATAAAACTAATGCGTACTTTGAATATCTGTTACACATAAATTGTTGGTTGGGAGTTAAAAATATTACAAACCATGAAGTAAATATAACTTTTTAACTTTTTATATCATCAGTTATACAGATTCCAATTTTTCAAAGATAATCTGATATCCCTTTCTCTGCACTTATGTCATCATTATAGTCATTCAGTGGCTAATTAATCTTTTCTAACAGGGAAGCATTTAAGCAAGAGGTATCATAAAGAATTCAAGTTGCTGGAAGATGAAATCTGCAAATATTCAGCTTCAAATCACCTACACTATTTTGTTTTCAAGTTTAGTATTGGTTTCACTGACTATAAAGGGTTTATTTGCATTGGCCAACCACTGTAAATCTATTTTTACTTTTACACACAAAATGACAGAGCATATTTTTATTTTACATAGTGAAATATATAAGCCTTATGAGATAGTCAGTGAAACACAAGACACTGATAAACATGAAACCTCCAGTAATTAGACATTTGATTTAAGGGAAGACAAGAGGCTCATTCACTTTACCCAAAGGAGCTCATCATATTTCTCTTGTTGCAACAAGAGAAGGTAAAAATATACTGGGTAAATTATAGAAAACTGCAGAAAATTGAGCACCATAAATGACATCAAGCTTTTTTGCTGTGTGCTGCATTTTAAGCACACTACTTCTAGCTATGACACATTCAGACAAAAATGGTACCTTTCATATATTGGGTTTCACCCTGGGGCTTCCTGTGTGGGCATCCTGATCTGCCAGTGGTCACCGCATTTCCTCAGGACACTGATGGACATGGTGAGAGGCTAAGCAAATCTACCCATAGGCTAACTGTATGTAGAAAAAGTTTTCTTATACATCACATTGAGAGTAATAGAAATATGTATAATTTTAAAACCCAGAGCAACCAGTTTTAAGCCTTTTATCATTTCCAGCCTAGAAGACTGAGCTTATGGTTCACATAAGGCAATATGTGAGGGATATCTGAAACAATCTTCAACCCAAATGGTTTGGTGAACTGTACAACATGAATTTTAAAATAGCCCCACATACGATCTGTTTAGAACTTCAAGATTCATTGCTAATTACAAGAAAAATAAAATGTACTCACCCACTGGTTTTTCTTTTATGACTTTTTAAAATGAAGTAGACTCTTATTCTATATTCTGAAATTAAAGTACTTCTAATAATTAACAGTTGAACTATTTATAACAGTAATGCATACTTTTAAAACAGTATGTTGGGACAGGAAAAAATATCTCCAGAAATTCAGTACCTAAGAACATTCAGTGAAAATTTTCTGAAAATTTTCTTACTTTATAAGGGTGGTTTAGGAAATGAGAGTCACACAGAAGGACACGGGAAAGGGTAATATTTGCCTGAATTGTTGATGGGATTTATAGGTCAACACAAGATAAATGACTAATGAGTTGGTTTTAAGATTAACTTTTTCTATTCATTAAAGTGAATTTCTTCTGATCTCACAAAATGTTGCTGTCTGTGCTCTGTTGTTAGCTTCTGACACCACTTCTTCCAGTTCATGGGTTCCCTCTTCTGAAATTGGGAAACCCAAGGAAGTGGTATACTGCACTAACCATGGTTGTTGCTGTGTTTCTCTTTGCCTCCTCCCGTGTTTACAACACATGCACAGGGTACCTTAAGATGTTTGACATCCCTCCTGGGGCTAGACATGTGTTAATCCAAGAAGATGAGGCTTCCCCTCACATTCTTGGTAAGTGTTTTATCTGCTGGCTCTGCCTTAATGTGTACTTCAGCATTAAAAGGTCAAAAAAGTCACATGTACAGTTGTCTGTATGTGTGGAAGGTGTACACATATAGGCAAGGAGATTATTGTAAATGCCTTAATTGAATATTATGTGAGTTTTGTCATTTCTCCCAACTATTTTTACTTTAATATTTTTATTCATTCATTCATTCATTCATTCATTCATTCATTCATTCATTTGGTACAGGGTCTCACTACACAGGCTTGACTCATAATGATCCTCTAGTCTCAGCCTCCCTAGCACTGGGTTATAGGCATGTGCCTCCATGCCTGGTTTTGGTGGCCAGCACAGTGCATTCTGGGGCTAGCATGGCACATTCTAGGGCTAACATGACATGCGGTACCAGGGATCGAACTTGAGAACTTACACTTGCCAGGCAGGTGCTTAGACTGACTGCTGAGCTAGCTTCCGAGCCCTATTTTTACTTTAAAACAAGAACCGTCCAAAAACAAAACTTTTCTTTTGATAGAGAGTGGTGATTGATGATAATGACAAGGAAAAACAAGTTTATATTTCTTTTGCGTTCTTCATTCTGTATTAAGGATGAGAAGAATACATTAATAAAATTTTCTAAATTAAGGAAGAATACCAGAAAAATTCATATTTATGTTGAAAATAGTTGACTGATTTCGTACTGTATACCACCCCTTAATTTTATGTAACTTTAATTTCTTTGGGTGAAAGTCAAATATGGGTGGATTTTGTTATTCTTACGTTAAATTTTCCTAATGCTGCATCTAAAAAGTATCAGTTAGCTTTCAATTGGCACATGCAGATCCATTTGCATGGTTGAGTATAGTTTCCAAAAGAATAGTCTTTTTTGAGAGCATCATATACAAGTGTAACTTTAATAGGATCTATGTGTAAACAGAAGCAGTTTTGCATATTGATGCACTAAGATGTTTGAAATTTGGTAAATATGTTGACTTAAAAATGATTTATTGAGGGCCAGCCAGATGGTTCAGAAGACTAGAGCGCAGCAGCTGAGGTTCAATTCCCAGCCTGGAGTGCCAGTCCCACCCCTAGGGCACACTGAGACTGAAGTTGAGACTGGGCATGGTGGCACACGCCTGTAATCCCAGTGCTTGGGAGGCTGAAAACAGGAGAATCACTGCAAGTCGTATCTACATAGTGAGACCCTGAAGACCCTGTACTACATACATTAAAAAAAAAAAAACTGATTTGTTGGGCTGGCCAGATAGTTCAACAAACTAAAGTGCCTGCTTAGGCAGGTGCAGCAACTGGTGTCTGATCCCGGGCATGTGCTAAAACATGAACAAGACTGGGTAGGGTGGCACATGCTTATAGTCCCAATGCTTGGTAGACTGAAAACAGCAGGATCATTACAAGTCCAATCTGTTTAGTGAGGTCCTGTAGATTCTGTACTAAATACATTTTTTAAAAAATAGATTTGTTTTATAGTGTCTCGTATAATTATTTTTACAGATATTGAAATTATATTCACTACTAGTTGCTACCATTTCCTGACATTCAACCAGAGCCCTTTCTCTGATGTTTAAATTCCTGAATAATGTTCAGATTATTACTCATAAACTAATTAGCTTAAAAGCTAAATAAGTATGAATGTGTTTAATTAGAATTAAAATAAAGAGAAAATCCAGGGCCTTGAATGTGTTAGGCAAGATCTGTACCACTGAGCAACATTCCCATACTTTACAAATTTTTGTATTTTATACACATTTCTAGTGGCGGGGATCATTATGAAATAGTGTACTCTTAATTTATCCTTAGATGCTGATTTATATCTCCAAACTTTATGTTCATCTATTACTTACAACTACTGGAGTAGCATTTGTTTTATAATATATAGTGACTGTGAAAATTCCATCAGCAGTAAGTAGCTTTTTCTGACCATAAAAGTAGCTGATGTGACCTTAGCATTTTGTAACCATCAGAAAATGATTTGACCAGTATATCTGTTCAGGTATTTTGAGTAACTATAAATATTTTGACCACTTTAAAATTATGAGAGTATAAAGAAGCCATTATTTTATTTTCTATTTATCATAAACTATATTAATCACTGGAGAAATATCTGTTATCAAAATAGTATAGTCCTGGATTTCTACAGAAATATAGAGGATGAATAAGTTAGAAACTTTGTATCTTTGATGGTGTTTTCAAATGAGAATATATGCATACATAATTTTTGCTTGTTTAACTCTCGAATGGCACTGACTAGTTAGAAATGCTTCTTGAAAGTTTTTAATCCCTAATGAAGGAAATACTAATATTATTAGAACTAACACCCAGTTTGATTCCCTGATAATAAGTAACATAGTCATTGACATGGAGGGGGGAGCTCTTGCTAGAGATTCAAGTTGTGACATGCTAAGATATATACTTGGGTTACTCATTTCCTTTTAGCTATTAAGAACCAGGCTACAGGCCACTATATTTTAAATGGCAAAGGGGAAGAAGCCAAGTCACGGACCTTCATAGATCTTGGCGTGCAGTGGGAGTACAACATTGAAGACAACATTGAGACACTACACACTGATGGACCCTTGCACGATCCTGTTATTGTTCTGGTATGCAGCATTATAAGCTATTCTGATATTGGTTCAGCTTATAATTTTACTCTTAATTTTTCTGGAAACATGTTTACCTTGGGCATTAGAATATTTAGTTGCTTGGTTTTTGTAACTCCCATTTGTCTCCCCCAACTCTTTGCATAAAACTGTCATATATTTTAATATATATATTATAAGCTGAAAAATACATCATGATTTTTTATTTAAGCAACAATAAATATTATTTGTTTTAGAACAATAAAAAAAAAACCAAACAAAGTCTCCTATCCCAATACATTTCAAGTTTTTATTGGTACTTTCCCTGTGTTCCTCTCTATAGCAATACTGAAAAGCTTGTAATCATATTTGCTTAACACATAGTTCTTCTATAATCCATCATGCCCCAAACTATATTTTCTTAAAGCAACACCAGGCAGAAGAGTCACTGTTTTTGACTTTCCTCTGAGAAACAAGAGCAAAATCGGGGCACACAACTGTCGTGGGTCATGATTTAGACTGTGTGCACATGCAGGTCTCTCTTAACATTTTACCAATGTGCTGTTTACCTGCTTACACCTGTATATCATCTTTCATTCTGAGATGTTCCATGCCTTAACTGTGAGGAAGGGATGGGAATGTACATGTCCTTTCCATGGAGAAGTATACAGTCAGAGATCAGCATGACCCTGTGCTCTAATGGGAGAGATGCAGCCAGAGCAAAGTCCACTCGGAGAAGATGGTAATTTCAATGAAAAAACACCTCTCCCTACCTGATTCAGGGATGCATTATGCAGCAACTGAATCACTGAGCGTTGGAGCTGGGAGCGTTCATTTAGTTGCATTCCACAATGTTCTAGCAAAGACACTAGGTCCATATATTCCCAAATACCTGCTTCCTCTAAACAGAAATCATTTGCTTTACAGAAACCAACCATCCTTCTCCATCAAGTCCCAGAACTTGGTCAGAACTTTCTGAGAGTTTATTTCACTACAAATTATATTAAGAAATGAAACAGAAACTCCATTTGTAACGTTGACAGTGTTCCCCCTCCATGAAATATTTAATGGAAATCAGGAGCTACAGTACTGCATCTGCACACAGAGAACCTGTGTAAGATGGATGTTTTCTAAATGCAAATTTCTAAAGAAACACCCAAGTGCTGTCCTTTGTTTTGCTTTTGGGGACAGGAAAGCATCCATTTGGCAATCCTGCCTTGCTTGATCCCATCTATAATGCTGTACCACATGCTATCCAGAGGTATTTCAGGAGTCCAAGGACACTCTGAACACGGATGGAAAAGGCTGGAAGCAGTCCAAAAGGTCAGCACCATCTGCTAAGTACTCAGAATATAAATAGCCAGAAACACATACTTCAGTGGATAAGTGGAGCTGATCGAATTTAAAAGTTGTTTCTCCTAAATGGTAGTGGAGGTAGCCGAGGGAATTTGTGAAAATTGAGATAGTTCAGGATCTTGCTTGACATTAAGTTAGTTGGGACATCCACACAGGTAAACAAGTGCATCGTAGTTCAAGACACTCTGCCCTATTAAGGCCCCTAAATGAACTTCTGATGGCCTGTGTCGCTCCAGAGCAGACCACCAAAATCAGCCTTTGGTGGGAGAACCCAGTAAGTTGGATTATCTGATTACTGTGATTTTTAAGTGCCTCAGAGTCCTACTGAGACATCAAAACCAGAAATGGGAATGTTAAAATAACTTTTTGGTTTTTCTCTTTCTTCTTCTGTGTGAATATTTGTGTGTGTGTGTGTGTGTGTGTGTGTGTGT